TGTAAATTTCTAGTAAATAAATAATAAAGAAATGAAAAAATAATAAATTAAACAACATTTAATAAATTTATAATTAGATTGAGTCTGCCAGCAGCTCCAAAGTAAAACCATTGACAATCTCAATGTTTCAAAATGCGATGTAATTCTATTTTCAGAAATTTTGCCTGTTTCTGTATCTGAGAAGTTGGTAATCATTAGACTGCGGATTTTATGCATTTATGGGAAAAATATACATTTTATTTTGATAATGTAAAACGCGTAAAATAAGATAGTTCGCTTTGGTAATTTAAAGTTAAATCGTGAAAATAAATATTTTATCTTAACAATCTGAAACACAAAATAAAACAGTTCTTGTTTTAATAACGTAAAACATGAAAACAGATGAGATTTATAATCTTTTTAAATACAGCTATTCGCATTGTAACAAACTGCATCATTTATGTACGTCTATAAAAATAATTTTTATTTATCAAAATAAATTTTCCGCTATGATTTAGAGAAATAAACTTATTTCATTTGTCGATAATAGATGAAATAAATAAAACATTCCGAACCATGGCACTAATATTTTCAGTGTTTCTCAAATAAAATATCATTTGAAATATTATCTGAAAAATCTGTTTTACAACGAATAAAATATTTCATTTTTAAAAGTACATTCCTTCGAACGAACAAAATATTCCATTTCAAAAAATACGTGCACGATCCAAAATCAAACATCAATTTGCTATTTGCCATTTAAAACACTTATTTTACCCGGCTCTCTGTCGATAGGTTTACCGTTCGAATTTCTCGTTAAAAATCATCGGTTCGGCTAGAAACTGTATGATCCCCGTTGCGAACGAGGAATCGAACCGAACGACTGCGAATCCCGTAGAGGATGAAATCGAAGACGTTTAAGGAGCCACCTTAAAAAGTCTTCCTGGTTCGGCGGCGCTCAAAAACCGAGTGCCGGCCAGAGAGACAATTGCAAAACTAAGGAAGAAGAATGGAAGAGAGGCTGCGAATAGGCCAGAAAGGGGAACGTATAGACCTCCCATTCGGCTGATCCCGGGGCTCTTTCCTTTCGTGGCTAGCCCAATAACCGAACAGTCACGTGCGTGGATCCAATTAAAATTTAAAGCTGTTTCAGTCATCAACGGGACGCCTCTCTTCCCATGATGCATCACCGAGAGTGAAGGGAAGATGCGCCTCTCCGTGATCTCCTCTCCACCTCCCACACCCAGAGACGGTCATTCTAATACGCTGGTTAATACACGTGGATATGCAACGCTAAGGATAAACTGTAACAAAGGGTCCGGCAAGGTATATAAACTCTGCCGTGGATCATCTTCTCAGTTCGCTCCGCGTCTTCGGTCATAACAGCAATATGAATTACCACCAGGTAGGCTATACGGTTATGGTTCCCGGTAACCGGCTCCGTTATCCAAAGTATCCGGGCCCAAACCATCTCCGGAACACTCTCCGGCCAATCGATTATCGAAATTCAATCTTCCGTCACTGTTCCTGTATAGTTTTCTTTCTTCTTTTTTCTTCGACAAAGCTCGGCAATCCGTGGAACAATTTCAGCTCGCCGGCGAGCCAAGAACTTTGTAATCACAATCTTAAACCTGACACGGGGAGACTGTAGCTTCGAACGATTTTCTCCGCGCATTCTTCGACGGCTTCTCGAGTTTCCATTCCAAAGATTCTGTCTTGAGATCAGGTCTCTGGACCACCCCTCCGCTTCGCTGATAACGGAAACCTTTTCTGCGACCGTTCTTCTCGGAGATTACAATTTTGTTCCTCTGCTTTCGGGTTTAACGACAGATTCCATGTTTTCGGGGTTTCAATTTTCTCGTACACTCGGCTGCCCGTAACACGTTCTTCAGAGGTCAGCGATGATTTCGGCCCGAGTCCGTGTCTTCCTTCGGCTGGCGATTTTCAAAATCCAATTATTCGCGATGATCCGATATCTTTCGTACCTTCTCGCGGGCCTCTTCGAATCCTGAAACAAGAAGCCAAAAGTTAGATTCTCGAATATCGTCGGAAAGAGATCGTCGTCGAGTTTCAGTATCGAACAGAGATCTAACAAGGTCTCGCACATTCTTTTTTCATTATTCGTCCGACGATTCGTTCTTCTGATTCGCGGTCGCCCGGACCGGCAAGTCCGTTTCGTCATCGTAGAAATAATATAAGAAACGAAAGAAAAAGAAGAAGAAGAAGAAGAGAAGAAGAAGACGCACGAGGAAGACGCTACCAATTGGAAATCGCTCAGTAATCATCCCCGGGATATTAATTTCGACATACACATGAGTTACGCGTCTGCAAATCATTGGCACGCGATACTTCGAGGCTTTCTATTCGCCTCAGCATCAGCGTTCTCCACGGATTCTTTTTGTTCGGGGCATTAATGACGTACAGTGACGAAATCGTGCAATCAGTTCATACAAGAGACACGCTCTCGTCGCGTGTTCGAATTGCTTCTACAAAGTAATTCACCGATTTCTTGCGTGCCCCGCTCGCAAGAAAAGAGCATCTTCTATTAGAGTTTCATCATCGCGAATCCACCTGGAATTCGCCCTGGTTATTCTCTACGGTGTTCGACGAACAATTCCGCGTTCAGTTTTCGTGTGTCCACAGTCTTCTAGATTCTATCCTGTCGCAATAGATCGTCTGATTTCGCATGTTTAAACGGCGCCTTGTTGTTCTCGTTTCTCTCGTTAATATCTTCGCTGTTACGGTAGTGATCGTCTTTCAACGTCTCCTCGAAAATCTTCGCGTAAAATTCGCGTACTCCGACTAAATAATATACTCAGACCACGCGGTGTAATTGATGGGTAATTGTTAGCCTGAGAGCCTGATTGCAGGGACGTAAGAATAGGGTGAGTCCGGGAACATCGTTGCTGAAACTTGTGTTTAATCTTGATAGTTGATACGTGACGCCGAAGCGATCGTTGCTGGTGCACGTCGCCAAGTTTTCAGTTCTCGAGTTCCGACGTTCTTCGACTCGTCAGATTCTAACGTAATCATTCTCTCGGACGTACCGGCAACAAACATTTCAAAAGCAGTCGCCTAATCTCGTTCCATTTCAGTGAGCAAAAGTATCTTTGTTCTCGACACTAATATCTTCGAACTGTGTCAACTACAGCAGAGACTCCCTTATCCGAAGATTTATTTTCTTAATATCTTTTTTCTTAATAATATAGCTCGTTGAATATATTTTATTTTATTTTATCTTATTATCCAAATATTTCAGTCGAGTTCACTGCTTCCTGGTAACGTATCTAAATAATACACAATGTTTAAATAATCGAACGTTCGGCTACCAGAATATTGTAAAAATAAATGTTCGGATCTCTATTGTATTCGAGTCTCTATTGTATTTGGATATTGTCCTTTGTCGCACAGCTAACGGAAGGTCAACGAATTCTGTTCCAGTTAACGACGGGGCTGTTGCTGCTCTCGTGTCTCAGCAGCGATGCACTTGCTGGATTGTTGCCGGGTGGTGGCGCCGGTGGAAGTGGCTACCAGTACAATAGACCAGGCGGAGGAGGGTTCGGCGGTTCCGGCGGTTTCGCAGGGGATGTAGGCGGCGGTGGCGGCGGCGGCTTCAGGAGACCCACGACGTCCTACGGACCGCCCGGGGGTGGCGGTGACGGTGGTGGATTCCCCGGTGGTCGTCCTTCCACCAATTATGGAGCTCCTGGACAATTCGGCGGTGGTCCTGGTGGCTACCAAGGTGGAGGAGACGGAGGGTACCAAGGTGGATTCGGAGGTGGATATGGACGTGACAATGGCAGAGTGCGTATTATATCTCTAAAATATAACCGTTAGAATAATAATGGACTCTGGGCCTTTGTATTAGGGGGGCCGGAAAGTTATGTCGTTTGTTTACATTAAATTCAAACAGATAAATATGCGTAGAAACGAGATATTACTTTCTGGCCCCCCTAATACAATATTGAATCTATTTGGTTGTGCAATTAAGTAAGACAAGGAAAATTACGCGAGTTCAGATGAATTTTGACATATGCTTTCGTCGGGATATTTCTAAAAAAAGTTAGCTTCAATCAAAGCTGGAAGTGTCTACTTTAAGACTGGATAGATTAGATTGCCATTGAACGACGAGATCATTTTGAAAAATTAAAAGGAATCGACCTTTGACATTATGCGGTTTACAAGATTTAAAAGGGAAGATTCAGATTTATTTTAAGGTACATTTTCGTGGGGCTATTTCTATGCAACTTAGCAGAAATGAAAGCTGGAAGTGTCTACTTTAAGACTGGATAGATTAGATTGTCACAGAACGACGAGATCATTTTGAAAAATTAAAAGGAATCGACCTTTGACATTATGCGGTTTACAAGATTTAAAAGGGAAGATTCAGATTTATTTTAAGGTACATTTTCGTGGGGCTATTTCTATGCAACTTAGCAGAAATGAAAGCTGGAAGTGTCTACTTTAAGACTGGATAGATTAGACTGTCATAGAACGACGAGATCATTTTGAAAAATTAAAAGGAATCGACCTTTGACATTATGCGGTTTACAAGATTTAAAAGGGAAGATTCAGATTTATTTTAAGGTACATTTTCGTGGGGCTATTTCTATGCAATTTAGCAGAAATGAAAGCTGGAAGTGTCTACTTTAAGACTGGATAGATTAGATTGTCACAGAACGACGAGATCATTTTGAAAAATTAAAAGGAATCGACCTTTGACATTATGCGGTTTACAAGATTTAAAAGGGAAGATTCAGATTTATTTTAAGGTACATTTTCGTGGGGCTATTTCTATGCAATTTAGCAGAGATGAAAGCTGGAAGTGTCTACCTTAAGAGAGGGTACTATATTTTCTTACAGTAAAACTCGAACGGACTTATTACACAGCCTAATATAACCTTATATACCTCATCGAATTATCTTTGCTATCTCTTCTTTGGACTCACTAGGTATCCCCAAATTAATGACTCGTGTACAATCATTACAATATTAATAGACACTTGTATATTAAATGTACAACCTCTACTTCTGCGCTAGACTGTACATACCACTGAACTATTCTTGTCACCTCCCCTTTCCACTCGGTCTAATTTTCCTGGACACTGCGATCCTAGACATACTCAAATCGAAGACTTACAGCCCCCTCCAAAAGTATTAGGACACCTGCTTATTTAGTGTAAATTGTAACATTCCGTTCAGTTTAGGTAATCTCGACAACATTGCATCATATTGTCGAGAGTACATATTAAGTTACAAGCGTTTGTCAATTATGCAATTAATTTATTCATTTACCGCGTTCTGTTTCTAATATGCTAATAGGAACGAATACCGAAATATCAGTCCAAGAAATAATTAAAAACGCGATAGCTATATCGACGATAAAAACATTTAATTTTCTTTTATAAAATCGACGTTATTTCCGTTACAACGTCAAATACATTTATTTACTTGTTACAGTTCAATATTATTAACTTTGAAAAGAAATGTTTTAAATTACTAGTAAATAAACTAAAAGACGGATCTTCACGCAAAATAAAAATATTGCGCACCGATTGCAACGAACAGGAAACGCACAGACATTTATTCTTTTCTCGAATAATTTTAACGAGCTACAAACAACACAATGCAATTATTGTACCCTTCTCTAATACCGCCACTGTTTTGTGTTTCAATTACACAATTTTGTTATAAAACGCATAAAGTCCGCGGTCCGATTACAACAATTTCCTATCCGCTTTTCATATTCATCTAATTTTGCTGCAAGTGTCCCAATACTTATGGAGAGGGATTGTATACCTTACAACCGTTACAACACTCGCACGTTCGACACCGTGGCACGCTAACTCGACGAACCTTCTACCTCTTCGCTTCACGTGCCACCGAACTACCCACGCCACCTCTTCTTCGCGCCAAATCCCATTTTCCAGACCCCTGGACCACTCGAGACGGCCAACTGGATACAGACACGCGAGACCAGACAGACGCTCCGGTCTTAGGATAATCGTTTACCTAAATGAATCTCGGTTAGAAACGATGTTGCCAGACCCGTGGGCGCTGTCGAAATAACGCGGGAACATAAAATGCGACCTGTTGCGTCTCCGCAGCCTCAGCCGTACAGCTTCCAGTACGAGGTGTACGATCCCCCAAGCGGCAACGACTACTCCCAGCGTGAAAGCAGCGACGGTAATGTGGTAACAGGGGAGTACAGAGTCTTGTTGCCCGACTCGAGGACGCAGATCGTGAAGTACATGGCCGACGACGCTAACGGTTACACCGCTGACGTTCAGTACGAGGGACAGGCGCAATTTAGCCGCGGAGGCGCCGGTGGATACGGTGGCGCCGGTGGATATCAAGGTGGCGCTGGTGGTTACCAAGGCGGCGCTGGTGGATACCAAGGTGGTCAGTATAATTTTGTTACATCGAGAAAAGCGAGGAAGAATCAGCATGAATTGTTTCGTGATAACAACGTTTCAAAATCATTTGAACGTTACCAAATCCGTTTATATTCGTCGAACTGTTTAAAACTGTAATTGTTGCGCCAGTCACGAAATTCAATTTTATATAGAGATACCGTAAGGCGGAAAAGCTATTTTGAATTCAGAGTTAGAATGACTTCGAGTGCGAAGGGTTGAAGAAGTCAGTGCTACTTCGCAGTCATGAATTGTTTCTTTTCTCTCGTTTTGTCATAAGGAAACAACCGAATGCGTTTAAGCTTTTCTAAATTAAGTTGTTTCTGTTGAAAAAATAATATAATATATATAATAATAATATAATATATAATATATAATAATATAATAATAATATTATATTATATAATATATATATAATAATATATAATATATATATATATTAGCCTCAAATTCTCAACATAAAGCTCCTTGAATAATAAGGAGCTATTCTAAAATATAAGAATAATAATTTATAATATATATATATAGAACGGAATATATAATATATATATATTATTATTCTTCCCAAGGAGCTTTATGTTGAGAATTTCTTAGAAAATTGTTTAGATAGCAATGTCATCCATAATTCAATAACTATATATATATAATATAATAATAATAATGCTATTGGATTTCGGTACTATAAATTGTTCATAAAATTGTGTTCATAATATGGATTCATTCGTGCGATTAATTGTTTAGTAAGAGAAGTAGGAGAAATATTTGGAAACGTCCCAGTGACACGGGATTTTCTTTGTCCGTTGCAGGAAGGGGTGGTTTCGGCGATGCCGGCAGCAATCAGTATCTCCCACCACGCTCCAGTTACCGGAAATGATTGTGATAACATCAGAAAGTGACACATCCCCCCGTATGCTGGGCGACAACCATCACGGACCTCCCTCGTTTTTACAGCTTTTTTTTACCTTCTTTTGTATACACTGAATAATCTTATACCACTGAGTCACATTGCACATTTACATTTAATAATCACCCACTGGTATTTATCTTGTATATCGATTAGGATAATTTAATGAATCTTGTATGCGCGTATTGTACTCCACGTAACTTTGTATGTATACATTTACTTTGTACATGGTAATTCATTTTTTTATTGTGAAACATACGCTTGTACCTTCTGCTGAGCGATGATCGTCGGACTTCTATACTTGTGTACGTATTTATGCGAGCTTGTAGTAAAGCAGGAATGAAGTAACCTTTATACTGAAACCATGCTGTTCATTTTATTTTACCCCCCCCCACCCCGAAAATTCATAGTAGCCACCTAATCAATCTATAACCTAATCAATCTATATTGAAAAGGTTTCGAAAATAAAAGTGTTAAACAGAAAATATCCGAAAATAAGACTTAATATAATTTGTTAACGAATGAATTTGTTAATGCATCTGAAGAAATTTGTAAAATTCGAACACATTTATGGTTGATTTTTCTCATGTTACATCAATATTAGCGCATAAATGAGCCGAAAAGGAATTACAATATTACAAATTTCTTCGGATGCATTAACAAATTAAGATAACAAATTATATTTACGCGTGTCTTATACGTGACTGTTCATCCCCATAAATTGGATTCAGTCGTACAACAAGTCGCAATACAAAAAATACATACCATAAACGTTCATAAATGAATAATAATTTTTAAAATATCGAACTTCTTGAAACATATCGTTAAACGATAAAGCTATAAAATTAGTAATAAAGATTAAATACAAATTTATTTTGATAAGTTTTTAACTTAATTTCATAAGGCGTTCGAATTATGTAGGTAACGTTTTATACTAAATCGAAAGTTAATTATACCATTAATTAAACTCTAATTATACCGTAAAGGATTTTTCCCCTTCAATGTATATTTATTTAAATATATGGCGTAGAAGTCGAAGTTATACTAGCGATCGAATACTTTCGTTGTCTACTGTACACGCTGTTTCTAGCAAACGAATCTATTCAATTGTTTAAATTTCTGTGTGGTAGACAAACAAAATAGTACATCTGCATTGTGAAAAGTATGCCTCACTCTTAATTATGTAATATGCGCCGTTTATTTTCAAAGTGGCCTAAAAAGTCCATTTATTTTAAAATCCAGATATTTAAGGATTTTACGTTTTAATAAATTAATAAATATTGATAACTGCTAACATGGTGATATAATGTTTTTGTGTTTCCATGGGTTTTATCGCGTTCTTAGAGTAAATATTAAAATAGCTAGCTCGATGTTTTTGAAAAACGGACTTGGGCCACTTTCAAAATAAACGGCTTATTCTTTATGGCACGTGTTTACGCTTCGAGAGTCTTTACAACAAGAAAGGACGAGAGCACGAGACATACGATATCGTCGATAGGTACGCACACGTACACACATCACACGGATTTCCCGAATGCAAGGCCATTCAAATTATAATACTCATGAATCCAGCATGCGAGTGTAAATTAAGAGATCGTCGCGATTGCCTGAAGGAATAACAGAAGTAGAACAAAAATCCATAAACGAAACTCAGAATCCAAAAATAAGTTATAGAAATCGATATAAATTTATATAATATATTGTATATTATATATTATATATTATATATTATATATTATATATTATATATTATATATTATAT